TTTTTGGTTTTTCTCCGGTACCGGGAACCGAACTCACGACCTTGCGCTTGCCAGGCAGGCGCTTTTGCCGCTGAGCTAAATCCCCAGCCCCCCTCATACTCTTTTTCCCTTTGAAACTATAAAACACTGAGTCTTGGCCAGGGATATAGCTTAATAGCATAAGCACCTGCCTGGCAAGCACAAGGTCCTGAGTTTGATTCCCCATACTGGGAAAAAACAAAACCAAACCAAAAAAACACTGAGTCTTATTTTGCCATGCTCCTCAACTCCATTGTTTCTGCCCCAAGTGTTGCTATCAAACGATATAATACCAGCCATGTGACTTTACCCATAAGTTAAATTTCTCTGGCCTTTTATACTTAATTTATACAACTAGGACACCTTTAATTCTGCAGGGTTGTTTTGAAGATTAAATGCTAACACATAAAAGTAACTGGCACAAAGCAGATACTCAAAAGATGTTAGCTGCTACTACTTACAAATTATATTTTCTAACTTTGGATCAACAACTATTTTACTATAGCAACCCCCTTTATCTGTCAACTTGCTTTCCAGTTTTTGTTACCCATAGTCAATCATGGCCCAAAAGTACAAATTTCCAGAAATCATTCTTATATTTGAAATTGTGTGCCATTCTAAATGTCCTAAAATCTCACAGTGACTCACCTAGGATATGAATCATCCCTCTGCACGTAATATCTATGTGTACACAGCTACTGCCCACTAATCACTTTGTGGCTCTTTCAGTTATCAGATTTGACTATTGCAGTATCACAGTGCCTGTGTTCAAGTAATCCTTATTTTATTCGATAGCAGCTCCAAAGTGCAAAAGTAGCATTGTTGGCAATTCCAGTATGTCAAAGAGTAGCCATATAGAGATTCTTCAAGTGAAAATATGAAAGTTCTTGACTTAATAAGAGAAGAAAAAAAATCACATGCCATAGTTGCTAAAACCAGCAGTAAGAAAATCTTCTATCCATGAATTTGTGAAGGATGAACAAGAAATTGATGCCAGTTTTACTAATGTTAGTGTATGATAAATGCTTCGATAAAAAAGGCATTAAATTTGTGAGTTAAAGGCATGAACAGAAAATGTTATTGTAATTATTCTATTTTATTATGACTTACTGTTACTAATCTTACTGTGCCTAATTTGTACATTAAACTTTATCATAGGTAAGTATATACAGAAAAAAAAATACATTTAGGCCTCAATACTATGAATGGTTTCATTCATCCACTGGGATTCTCAGAACATATTCCCTGCAGATTACTCCTACAATCTCTAGGTGAATTTCTGTGGTATTTCCAAAAGAAATAGGCTAGTCTGCATTTTTACCTATACATTTTAAAATGTAACTAACTATACATGACAGTTTTGGTTTATTCATTCTAATGCCATCAGTATTCACTAAAAACTCAATTAACTAAAAATAAACAACTTCCATTTCTTTTTCAAATATCAGGCCATTATTTTTAACCGCTTTTCCAAACATTACCTAGATTATTTCATGCCAACCTCAAACTAGTAATTTCAGTATTCTCTTCAATACTGCCATCTATTGGCTAGAACCATATTTTCCACATACTTCCTTTCTCTTTTTCCCAAGTTTAAGCTTCAACCTCGTGGACAATTTAATTTCCACATTCTAATCTTCAGATGAGATGCTCCAGATATAACTCTTTAAAACTAACAACAAATGTATGTGTGTCTATATGTATGTATGTATGTATGTGTATGTGTGTATGTATATGTATCTATATCTGACAACTTAAACTAGCTAGTTCTTTCCTATTTTTCATTGTATATGTCTGGCTCTCCCTGAAAATAATAATGCCAAAGACAGAAAATACGATGTCTAATGAAAGAAAATAGCTTCCCAAAACTGAGCTGTCGAATGGAAGTATTTTTTCTAGTTAGAAATCCAACCAGAAACTATAGAACTCCAACCAGTAAAAACAGGTTTTAAATGTGCTATTGTTTCATAACTTTCTATTTCTGCATTTTCTCTTTAAAATACTCATACAATATATTATTCCCATATGGCAATAGAAAACTCTGAATCATATTACATGGACATACTGCACTTAATTAACATGGCTCTCTTCCCAACCTGACTTGAGAAAAACATAATTGTTCTTTATTCCTTTCTACCAAAATTCCTATTAAGTGACTTGCTTAATAGTTACAATATGCCAACATACACATATATACATACATCAAGTTTTAAATGATAAACTTCAACTTCACTGGTAGTTTAAACTCCTAACACTACTGTATTTTCTGGTTTCTCTTTTTGAAACCACATTAAATTTTTTCTCCAATTTCCTCATCAATTCAAAAAAAAAAAAAAAAAAAAAAAAAACAGACCACTCCAGACAGTCATAACAATTTTTTCATGGAGAAAAAGATGCTACAAAAGAAGACTAAAAAGCTCAAATTGGCAATATGATGGCTTTTATGTTTTACATGACAAAAGCAGCATACAGTCTGATCTAGGCTTCAAGGGCTGACAATGTAGTCAGGAAGACAAAGTTCAAACATAAAAAGAATAAGCAAATTAAGGCAAAATATCAATTGACAAACAACTAGTAGAGATATTTGTTACAAAAGTATGAAAAATGAAACAGCAATAGCTGCACTTGTGTGAAACAAGAAGGGAGGCATTTAAGAGTAAAAAGCAAGGGAATTTGAAGTCACAGAGAACAAGTATACAATGGGTGTAGTCCAAAGACTAGTAAAAACACGTTATGTAATACAAACGTTCAGACTTCACTGTCAGGTGTGTAGATTAGTCGAAAGGAAACTGTGCAAAAGACTACTGAGAGATCATTAGGAAAAAAAAAAATGCCCCAAATTGCAGAAGCACAAAAGCTCGAAGAGGTTGAAGAGCCCAGAAAATAAGAAACTCACTTAAGACCAAGTATAGCACATTTCCACACTATTTTCAAGGGTGACAATAGAAGGAAAGAAAACATTTAACCTGGTAGCAGCATTTAAAAGCCTGAAGAGAACTAAGAAAGACAAATCATAGTATTTCACTAGTACAGAAATTATAGTAGAGGTCTGAATTACAGTAATAATAATGGAAATAAACAATGAAATTCATTACCAGGAGGAACTCATGCAACCTGGTCAATGATCTGAAGCTAGAGTTTACAGGGGAGAAGAAGGAATCAGAATGTTCCCACCAATAGAGACGTTGTAAAAAGAAACATAAGATAGTAAACCATTATTTAGTAATTTTCAACAACTGAAATTTTTCTGAACCAAAATTCTATTTAACATTAAACTAATAAAACTGCATAAATCCAAAGGCTCAGCTAACAACTGAATATAAACAGCACTCCTATCTCACTATTAAGAAAAACCTTAAAGATTTACAGCTGTGTATCATAAATCTACATGAATTAGTCACTCCATTTGTTATTATTCTTTTTGTAGCACAAGTGACTCCTATTTGTTCAATTAGTACACATTTCATATTTAAGACAAACATGACAATTTGAGACTTAGTTCATTATTTTGCCTAGTGAAGTATATAAATAATACAACATATGCTGGAACACAGATTTCTCCATAGGCTAGGCAACAAACTGGGAAATAGTTCAAAAAGAAAACTCAGTTGGTATCAAACTCTTTATAAATTACTTTCCTTTTCCTGTAATTCCTTTAACAAAGTGGCACCATTTTTCAAAAAGGAAACTTTAAAAATACCATACTAGAAGTTTCACATGCTTCTATATTACCTTTACTTTATCTCTTCTTAAGCAACAGAACAGACAATTTTCATCAAAAGTCCAATCAGAAATGTTTTCAGGCTCACACTCTATAAAAATAAATATACTAAATTAATAATCATAAAATATAATTTTTCAGAAAGTAAGTCAGAACCAATTTCAAAAATGTTCACCAAAACTTCACTAAGGACTAGACATTTTATATACCTGTCTTAAAATTCTTGTGGCTCTGATACATGCTCCATCAGTGAGCTATAACCTCAGACAAGTCTTAAATTTCTTAACTCAAGAATTTTCCCTTTGCACGGTGGCACATGCCAATAATCCCAGCACTAGGGAGACTGAGGCAGGAGAGTCAAAACTTTGAGCCTAGCTCAGGCACTTAGTGACACTGGGACTCTGTCTCAAAAAATAAAAAGGGATGAGCATGGAGCTCAGTACAAAGGCTCTGGTTTCAAACCCCAGCATGTGGCGGAGGGGCGGGGAGCGGGGGGACGACACGACGACAAGAAGGGGAATTTCTTAATTTCTATCTGCTCACTAGTTACTACGTATCAATTAAAAACTAAAAACAAAAGGATGCTTATATGGAGATAGCTTTAAAACACATGAAACTGAATAAAAAGGAGATAGAGCCTTAAATCACAAAGGTATCAAGAAGATATACCAAGAAGAATTTGAAACACCAAAATATTTTTAATACCTTTAAATAAACTGAGATCTTTTAATAATGCAGGTCCAAACAGCCCTTCAAGAATAGTTTCAAACCCTGAAAGGACAAAGAAAAAAATCATTATCATGATAATATTCACTATAGCAATGGTAATCAATTGCAGGAAGCATGACGGTTTTTCCTTCCAACTCTCAAGGATCGCAGATTACTACTGAAGGGATGCTGAGGAAGTTTTTCACTGACAAATCTAGAAGGTGAATTTGCTTTTTTGTCACTGATTAATACAACACGAATTCATAGCACATTTAAGAACAAAACAGATACCAGGAATAACCAATGAAGGAAAAGAAATTCACAAGTTCTCTTACTATTGTACAAAACTTTTATAAACTCTCAAGCTCTATCTTAAAAGGCACCTTTTTCAATGAAAAGCCAAACTGCTTCAAAGAGTCCATAACTTTCTAGAATAATCTAAACTATGTTTCTGAATAGCAACTGAGAATATAAATTTTTCAAATTAACAGTTTCTTGAAAAATCTTCACTGAGAACTTTTCTTTCATACACACCCCACAACATATTTTAGCAAAAAAATAAAAAAAGTGTAATTATTTCACATTGTCACAGTAACTACTTGCTAGGTCCCTTTATAAAGACAAAACCCATTAATTATACATATAATTAAAATATGCTGTTTTTTACAGGTGGGGAAGGAGATAGTGAGGGAGGGTCCTCAGACTGTATGTTTATGTAACATACCAAGAATAATGGATTAGAACATAGTTCCCAAATTTTGTTATGGACCTCACTGTAAGCCCAAACACTTACTAGGAGGGTTCTGTGAATCTTTATGGACTTTAAGCAAAACCTTCAGAAAGAATTAATGTCTTAATAGAAATGTACTGTAATTAAGAAAATATGAAAACTTAAAATGAATTCCTAGTAATTTGGGGCACTATATATTATTTTGTCACATAATCTACTATGAGGGGGGAGTGGTGGTTGAGATAGGGTCTCACTATGCTGTTCAGGCTGACCTTGAACTCACTATGTAGCCCACGCTGGCCTCAAACCCACAGTGATCCTCCAGCCTCAGCCCGCCAAGGGTTGGAATTACAGGTGTGCACCACATGCCTGGCCTATATATTCTTCTAATTGTAAAAAAATATTCTCAGACTAATTTAAAATACTACTGACTACACACAATTGGGACTATACACATAGCCATTTCTTTACCATAGTACAATCATATATAAAATAATAAAGAATTTGGAAGGTAAGGGGTAGAAAGGATGGTCCCTACAAAGTATCTACCTGGGTATTAAGAATAACATTGTGATTTAAGCGTTTTTTTGCCCTACTAGTAAATCATCATTTTCAATAATCTCTAGAGTCTATTAACTACATTGTAATTAGAACTTTTTTTTTAAACACTATTTTTGAGGCTAGATTTTCTACTTATTATTAGGGATCAATTGTTTATTAACTCTACTTACCTGGCATCAGAATCATTTCAAGAACTTAACAAAATCAAACTTACCACTTAAATAAATGGGAAGTGCCTATGCCTGCTTATTATTTACCTACTATAATTAATTTCTACTGAATTACTATGGCCCTTTGCTCTTCCTCATACTAGGGAAGAAAGTTGAACTAGGGGATCTAGGGGTAGGGAGGTGGAGGCAAAATAATAAGGAATTGCTAGGTACTATCTATATGGTCTTGAAGACTTGATATTCTCTCATTCATTCATTTTTCTCTCTCCCTCCACTCTCCCCATCTTCTCCTTAACTCAACAGTCTGTAACACAATCCTCCTCCTACCCTCCAAAAAAGGAACTTGCAAATATAAATTACAAGTATTTCAACATCTTCAAAATATTAAACACACACTGCAAATACAGCTCAGAGATTGTATGTTGGTCTTATTCTGAAGAACAAATCTAGTATTTTTTTCATCTGGATTTATATGAAATTACAACAAATCCCAAAGCTGCATGCTAAGCATAAATTCTCAAAAAGGAAAAATGTAATATAGCAAGAACACTAGGAAAGAAAAAAAGGCTTTGGGAGAGTTAAAAAAAATTTAATTACAAAGTACACACTTTGAAATAAAATTAGGCAAGAACTTTATCAGTAACATATACTTACAAAACCATCCAACAGATCAAAGTAGTGGAAAAGACCAAAAGGAAGCAAGCAAAACCAAAACAATCTCCTCACAAACTCATAAGATTTAACCACAAATAATTTTGCTCAAAATTGTAATTATAAACTCCCTCTTTTGCTTGTATTTACAACAATACATTAAAACCTTCTAGTTATTACTGATTAGGTACGGTAAAGCCATTATTTTTGCTGCTCTGTTCACTGGATGGTAATGCTACACAGTTTTGTTAATAATATTGAACTTAGCAGTTGCACAACAGGGAATGTCTCATGTGCTGTGCTTGACATTTAAGAGAAGCCAAATAAAGGAAGAACAAACATATTCAAAATTTTTACCATGATCTCACAGAAAAGCCACGAAGATCAATAGAATACCATGGAAAACTACTGAAAAAGGCAGCTGTGTGTCATTATGTTTAATCACTAGGATTTAAAAAGTACCTTTACATAATATATTATACATAAAAATTATTTTATTGGTCTTGACTACTTTCTAGAAAATTATTTTTATCCAACAGTACAACTGGTCTCAAAGCTGATCTCTCCAGTCTCTTCTTTAATACAACCTGCAATGTCTTCAGAGCATTCCTAAAATTGCTTTGACAATACCTCTACTTCTTCAAAGTCTATACTCCTTACAGAACAAATTCAAAATTCCTAAGTCCAGCGTTCAAAGCTGCTTATAATATGATCCCAATCTCTGTTTAGCAGGCTTATTTCCCAGAATGGTCCTATGTATTTCCCACAGTTCCAGTCAGGTTGGGTTTTTACTGTCTTTGGTGATCACTTCAACCTCTGAGTATTTTCTCAACATTTTATATCTCATCCTTGCCCTAATAATGTATCTCCTCCAAGGCATTCTTCTATTTGTTCAGCAAACAAGCAAACATACTCACTTACTCATCATATTATCAACTGAGAGTCTACCCAGGACCGAAGCAGATAATGAATAGGCAATGGTGAACAGAACTGATACTTACTCTTTTAGAGCTTTGGTTTAGAATTTTCTTACCTTCAGAGTTCATAGATCCCTGCCTCCTTCTCAATAAAAACCTATTGTCTAAGGTCTCCTCTGCTTTCCACTATGTGCAAAGTACTGCTGATGAAAGCATTCTGTAGACTATAAAACATGTCATAGGCTATATAAATCCTTTATTTTTCCCATGCACTTATGTCTTTCTCCTTAAGAGATTTAAGAAAAGCTAGGTCTTTCCATGTCCTACAATGTTTCTTTTATATTAGAACCTTTCAATACTAAGTTTTTGCTTCTCACACAATCACAGAGCTCTGGAAAACTAAAGAGAGAAATTTTAAATTTCCCACAAATACCTCCCTTTCATTTAAATCATAATCTCTACTACTTCTACTTCCAAACAAAAGCAAGTTATGGAAAGTTTTAGGATAGGTAGATATCAAATCATCAACTAAGGTAAACAATTATAGCCTGTTATTTTTGCAATATATATACTATGGACAAAATAAAATAATAGTTCATGGGGGTCTTGGAAATATCTCTTCTGAGATAACCAATATAGAGACTAAAAGTATGTGAGAGGTGCTAAGGGAAAGAAGTACATTCTTGAGAAATTAAGGTTCAACACATCAAGGGCCCCTGGATCTTGTACTCAAGCTTGTCCCAAGCTTGATGGTCAGGATAATGAAGCTCAATCTTCAGTTAAGCATTATTTTATAAAATATCAGTTTAAAGGTGTTTGCTGGTAACAATCATCAACTAATGAACAGTTTTGGTTTTTGCTTAAAACTCAGTGTTTAACTTGCTACCACACTGACTTCCTAACAAGTGGAATGCAAAATGAATAAATATAAAATACAAATAAAATATAAACAATATAAAAGCATTAGATTATATAATCTTCTATCTGTAACTTCTATAGGAAATGAACTTCTCTATTCTAACTTCTATATGTAACGAACAATGTTCAACCAAGCTCTTCTCATAATGGTAGTTCATCCCACTGTTAGATAACTCCATTCATTGTTGAGTTCTCCACCCACCCAGCATCTGCATCCAACCCAGGCCCTGATGGATCTTATCTGCTGGTTCACTAAACACTGTTGGCATTACCCAGCACAAGAATGATGACAAAACCTGACCAACTTACTAGAGAAACAATTTAATCAAAATTAACGATGCAAACTGAAAGTTAAAAATAAATTCTCATGTAAGTGGACCAGCCTAGTTCAAACCCATGTTGTTCTATGATCAACTGTACTATACTTTTATCATTATTTCAGAGTATACTCTTAGTTATAAAAGAACATTTCACTACAAAACTGTATGGTATTTTGCACAGAACTCTCATATATGTTGTGTTACTAAATCTCAAATGCATCAAGAGGCCAGGACAAGTGGCTGACCTATACCACTTTCATTTGTGTCACTGTACTCTAGGATGTTGTTATGGTCTGTCTGGGTGTCCCCCTCAAAGCCACATGCAGTCATGAGGCAGACTTTTACAGTTTATGACTGATTCATGGTCCAATGTTGGAATTATGGATGTGAGTGTTACACCTGCCCTGGGACAGGTTGTTTGCATACAATGTAAGGGAGGGAAAGAGGCTGCTTGCGATGCTCCTCCCTTTTGCTGTCTTCCAAAGCTATGAACAGTTGCCCTCTGCTATGTGCCACTCTGCCTTGGAGCCAGCCAAGTATGGACTGAAACCTCCACAGACTGTGAGCTAAATAAACCTTTCCTTCCTTCATTTTGGGCATCAAGTATTTTGTCTCAGCAACGAGAGAAAAGTAACCAAAACAGATGTCAATGGCTAGTGGTACATTTCTCAAGAGTTCATAATGTTAATGTGAAGAGTAAAAGAAATCAAGAAAGAAAAAGATTAGAAACGAGGAGGTAGTCATGTCATTCAATATGTATAAAACAGGGATTATAGAAAAAGAAAAGGCAAAGACA